CTGCACTGGCTGCCGGTGGCCTTCCGGGTGCGCTTCAAGGTGTTAGTAACAACTTTTAAAGCGCTCCATGGCAATGGACCTAGGTATTTGCAAGACCGCCTCCTACCAAATATCTCCCTTCGACCAGTCCGCTCCCACAGAGAGGGCCTCCTTAGGGTGCCGTCGGCCAGTCAATGCCGGCTGGCGACCCCCAGGGGGAAAGCCTTCTCTGTGGCAGCTCCTGCCCTCTGGAATGACCTACCCCCCGACCTACGTACAACTACGGACCTGCGCCTCTTCCGCCGAGCCTTGAAAACCCATCTATTCCATGTGGCCGGCCTGGCGTAGTTTTGATTGGGCTTTGCTAGGGGTTTTATATGGGGTATTTTAGAGTAGGCTTTTTATTCAATATTTATTGTGATTTTTATTATTGCCTGTTCACCGCCTTGAGTCCCGTAAGGGAGATAGGGCGGTATATAAATTTAAATAATAATAATAATAATACTGTCTACTATTTACCATCAGTTTGAATGTGATTGGTTAATTCTGAACAAAGCCATATCTCTACTTATAAGAGGGTGTGTACACCTATGCAAACATGTTGTTATACATTTTTATTATTTTTCTCCCTAAAAGTGGTCAGTTTGTCAATTGAATTGTATAGCTTATGTGTCATATTAAAAATGGGAAAAATTTTGAAGTGATTTATCTTGGTGTGATTTTTTTTTTACATGCAAAAAGCCTGGCATTTTAACAGGTGTATGTAGACTTACTATATCCACTGTATATTATGCAATGTTGCTTCCACTTCAGATTCAGCGATATTTTCAGGTCTTATAACTTGTTTATGTATAGGAGAATTTTTCTTATGCACTCATAAAAGTGTCAGCATTTATTCCAGGTTTCAAATAAAAGCCTTTTGGTGCAAAATATAGATGTAATACTTTTCCATTTATAGAAAATTGCTATTAATTTATGACAAGAATTTCCAGGTCCCATCAGTCAAGCATCTTTTTCTGATAATAATAAGGTAGAAATATAAAAATGATAGTTACAAACTCTGGTATTTTGTATGTGTTGCAGTGAAGATAATACATGGGAGCCAGAGGAGAATCTCGATTGCCCTGACCTAATTGCAGAGTTCCTGCAATCCCAGAAAACAGCACATGAAAGTGACAAGTCAGAGGGAAGTAAGCGCAAGGCTGACTCCGACTCTGAGGATAGGGGGGAAGAAAGCAGACCAAAGAAAAAAAGAGAAGAGGTAAGGCAGATTCCTTCAGTACATGATCCACTCAAGGTTGCTTGTCTTATCATTAAAGAGAAAAAAAATGGTTGACAGAAATTTTAAACAGAGCGTTATGACCCAGGTCGCCTAGGCAGAAGCAGGCTTCTATAGAGTCCCTTTATTGCTCTGTTAAATTCCACAACAAACGACCCTACAACAGCTGGTAAGGCTCCACCCCACACTCCCCTGAAGGTAGCCACTCTCAGTCCCACAAACAAAAGCCAGTGTTCTGTCCTTACTACACGTTACTCTGTGTGCAGCTTGACATGCAGCTAAACCCACCTATCCTCCAATAAAACAGACCGTGTGCGTAGATCTGAATGCTTTATTAAAGGAACAGGATAGGTGAAACTGGGAAAAAATAGAAATACATATAATAAAAATCCAAGTACAAAATAAGCAGTATTGAGTTGCTGGTGAACATAACAACAATTACAGATAAATCTAGGGTATGTCAAAGGTATGTCATACAAAGAAGGAAACAAAATACTCAAAGAAAGAAGCAGCATACAACTAACAAACCCCTACTGCCCAATCCAACTCAACCAGAAGCAGCCCCACTAAAACTGAGCAATCGATTTCTCGCCCTAGATGGAAACACGTAGACCCACAACTTTCCCCTCCAAAAAACAAACAAACCCATGCAGACAACTAGTAAGGAAACCACTTCAAATATCCCTAAAAAAGTCACCTCAAACATCCCTAAAAAAGTCACATCAACAAACACACCAGAGATAAACAGAAAAGCACCCCAGACTACAGCCCCCCCCAAAAGAAGGCAAGTGTTGGTAATAGGAGATTCTATCCTCAAAGGAACGGAATCATCCATCTGCAGACCGGATATACAATCCAGGGAGGTATGTTGTCTCCCTGGAGCAAAAATCAAAGATGTGGCTGAGAACCTAACCAAAATAATTAGGCCTACAGATTACTACCCCTTCCTCCTCCACATTGGGACGAATGACACAACAAAGAACCTGAGTACAATAGTGAGTGACTACAAACAACTAGGGGCAATAAAGTTAAGAAGCTAGGAGCACAAGTAGTGTTCTCATCAGTACTCCCAATGAAAGGCCAACACCCATTGAGGGAAAAAAGAATTCTAGAAATAAACCACTGGCTAAAGGGTTGGTGTCGCCAAGAAAACATTGGTTACCTGGATCATGGACTGCATTTCCTTTGCGAAGGACTCTTGGCAAGGGATGGGCTGCACCTCATGAAAACAGGGAAAAATGTACTCAGAAAAAGACTGGCCCAGCTCATCAGGCGGGCTTTAAACTAAAATTGTGGGGGAAGGGTGACCAATCTTTAGAATCTCTAGAACACAGAAGCACAGGCACAAAAGCCTTAAATGCTTATATAAAAATGCTCAAAACTTGGGCTTCTGGTTCCGGATCGCGGCGCTGGCAAATGCGCGAGGAGAGTGCTCTCTCCGCCGCCCGGTTTCCCTTCGTCGGGCGACCCTGAAAAGGGTCGTAAGTCGCCCTGGAGCGGCGGCGACCGTGAGGAGGACCCTCGATAGATTGCGGAAGGGCGACAGCCCTTCCATTTGATCCGAGGCAGCTCCTTTGGACTGTCGGCGAAAAGATTGGCCGTCAACATGGCTGATCACTAAGCCGTGCCTGCCGAAAGCCAAAATTACCACCAAGCACAATGAAAGCACCGCGGAAGATTTGGGTGTGACTTTACCTTTCTTTTACCACAACTACCTTCCTGTGAAAGCCTCCTGAAATTTCTTCCCCGCTTTTAACATAGCGGCGTCTGCTTACCTTGGGAAACTAAAACTTTGAAAATAAAAGAAAAAAACAACTAATCTAAACAACTAAATAACTGGATTTGTATTTTTTGGATATTTTGGGGTCCCAAAAAGTTCCTATTACAGGGACCTATTACCTTATCTATTTGTTAAGTTGGGAAAAAATTTTTTTAACTGGATAAAAGCCTAACTGGTGTCTGGAAAAAGATTTTATAGCCTATCGGGGACATCTTGTGGTGAAGCCTGGTACAGCAACTGAATTTCTTTGACTGTGAGGCCTGCTTACTCCCTATATTTGTCCTTCGCACTATCCAAAAAAGATAAGAACTTGAAACAGCTGGGTGGTGAAAACAACTTCTAGGAACAGTGGAGGTGGACATTTGCTGATTTTTACTAAACATAGCCTCCACCAAAAGACTATCTCTAATCACCATAGAAATGGAGGAACTCTACCCACAACTCAACTATAAACTTATACTTGAAAAAATCCTTGAAGCCACTGAGCTAATGAACTCCAGAGTGAAAGACAAAGATGTCACCTTAAAATTACAAATTGAAGCCCAGATTCCAACTGATGAACTTACAATCCAAAAAACAACAGAAGAGGAACAATTTAACATCAAAGAGGATTCTACACAACAACAAGCACAAACTGAGAACTTTGACAGTCAAACCTTGATTTCAACTAAAGTACCTGTAACTCACAAAGCAACAGAAACTGAAGAAAGCAACATTAAGATGGAGGATGTTAAGGATCAACAAACACAATATATTGAGAACTTAGACAATCTAGATAATCAAATAACAACTACAACATGACCTCTTATTCTAGCCAGATGAAACTGGAAGAAGAAGAAGACCAGACTGAACTAATGACAAATATTTTAAATCAAACATGGAGATTTGAACTACTAGGGCAACAATCTAATGACTACAAAGGGGCCAGTTCCTTTGAAAAATTGATAACTGGATGCTCTCCCTTGATTCAAACAACATGTGTAGGAATGAAGGGAGACCTATCTGAGGATTTAAAGGTACTGGTATGGAAGCCGGCTTGGCACAAAAAGAAAGCTAGAGTTAGATTCAAAAATGGGATTTTCTTGCTCCTTTTTCTCCTTTTTGTTGACTGATGATGGAACAGCTTAAAATCTTACTTAATGGGCTAAGGAGGTTTTTAAAGATATTGATTGATTTAATATTTAGGACTTAGGTTTATAAAGGAAATGAAAATTAGCCATTAGATTATAGTTTTCAATTGTAATATGGAAGTGGGTTTGTGACAATGAAAGATACTTTATTAGTAAATGATGATGTACTAGGACAAGAAATAGAATATACTTGTGAAATAAAGTAAGAATGTAATTATCCGAATAATATGTGTATTTTAGATACGATAATTATTTTGTAATGAAATTAGGGAAATTCGGGTTACCCGAAATTTAAATATTATGGTTACTAAAGGCTAAATTGGAACTTAAAAACAGGACTTGGATATGTATAAGTAAAATTATATTGACAAATGTATTGACTGATTGAGCTATAACTAGAAATGTATTAACCTGAATGTGATACAATAATTAAGGGAAATAGAGAGGGAACTTTTAATGACGCAACCTGAGATATGTACGAAAGATTTTGTTATTGGATTATTGATTACCCAACCACCACGCTGCTTCCTAAATACTTGGATGTAAAATTGAAAAATAAAACTTGTTTAAAAAAAATGCTCAAAACTTGGGGAACAAACAGGGTGAACTAGAAGCAATAGTACACGAGGGAGGGTATGACATAGTTGGTATTACAGAAACCTGGTGGGACGAAATCCATGAATGGAATGGACTAATGGATGGATACAAATTGTTCAAAAGAAACAGGTCTACAAAAAGAGGAGGGGGAGTTGCACTATATATAAGAGAACACTACATATCTACAGAAACACACATGATCAAAGATAAAATCTCTCCAGAATGCATGATGCATGAACACTTAACCATGAGCCAGCAGTGTGCAGCAGCAGCCAAAAAAGCTAATACAATCCTGGGTTGTATAAACAGAGGCATAGAATCAAGATCACACAAAGTATTAGTACCGCTTTATAAAGCCCTAGTAAAACCACACCTGGAATACTGCAGCCAATTTTGGTCACCCTATCACAAAAAAGATGTTGAGACTTTGGAAAAAGTGCAAAGAAGAGCAACTAAGATGATCAAAGGCCTGGAGACTAAAACATATGAAGAATGGCTGCAGGACTTGGGTTTGGCTAGTCTAAAGAAAAGAAGAAATAGGGGAGACACGATAGCAGTATTCCAGTATTTGAAGGGCTGCCACAAAGAAGAGGGGGTCAAACTATTCACTAAAGCACCGGAGGGCAGGACAAGAAACAGTGGTTGGAAACTGATCAAAGAGAGAAGCAACCTGGAATTAAGGAGAAACTTCCTGACAGTGAGGACAATTAACCAGTGGAATAGCTTGCCCCCAGAAATCGTGGGTACTCCATCACTGGAGATTTTTAAGAAGAGGCTACACAGTCACTTGTCTGAGATGGTATAGGTTCTCCTGCTTGAGCAAGGGGCTGTACTCGAAGACCTCCAAGGTCCCTTCCAGCTTTATTCTATTCTATTCTATTCTATTCTATTCCTCACCAGCGATGCTGTGTGTGTGGGATGTGGGTTTTTGTCCTCAGATGACCATGTGCCACAGATTAGGCTGGATTCTTCCTGGTGCTTCTGCTTCTGCTGTTTAGGTGTGTGTCATGTATATGTTTCACTTTGACAGCGGGCAACTAAATTTCATTTTTGATGTCTGCCATTGTGCCCACAGTATAAAAATGACAGTAAAGGTTATCTTATCTTATCTATCTTATCTTCCTTCCAAATGCTAAAGCAAATGGAGTCTGGCTTCCCAGTGTGCACTTGTTCTGGGAGTGAGGTTTCAAAATAAATTTGAATATATATATAAAAAATTTTTTTCCCCCTGGTCAGACTAATGGGCCGATTACGTGCTCGAGAAGCCGGGCGCAGAGACAGGTAGCTATATAGGCAGGCTTCCTAATCACCTAGCATTCCAACCCTGATGACGTCGGCAGTCGGGCCAATGAAAGCTTGGTAATTCTTTTACTTACAAACTTCATTTCATTTATTTCATTTATTCAATTTGTATCCCGCCCTTCTCCCGAGGGACTCAGGGCGGCTCACAACATTTTTAAAACAAAAACAAACCCACAATCCCCGCCGAATAAAACCAATTAAAACCCAAATATTCCAAGTTGTGATATTTAAAATTTTCTAAAAATGAACCCGATTTAAAAATCCTCCCTAGGCCAGGCCCGCTTGCTGGAAAAGCCATGTCTTGAGGGCGCGGCGGAAAGTCAGGAGATCCGGAATCACCCGGATCTGGG